TGATAAATGGGAATTGGGTCACTTGGCTCTTGCATATAACGTCAGCCCTCCAGTTGAAGGCAAAACCTCAGCTCCAGTGTTACATACTGTTCTGTACATGCAGAAAGGAAAATTACATTTTCTTTCTTACTGCATTTACAGAAGAATCCTTTATTGGCAGCAGTCAATCCAGTCAGAATGTGAGAGGGGGTTGGCATCGCCTAGTTAAGGAAGAATCTGTAAAATGCTTGAACAAAAAATGTTTCCATATTGTATTACAAATATTAAACAAGGAAATGTAGTTTCAGCTTTCTTAACATCATCCCACCTTTTGGTGATGACATCATGGTTCTGGATTTTTTTTAAGCAGTAGAATTAAAAGCATATTCAAGAAATTCTTCAACCCAGTCACAAGAATCTCTACTTTGTATGAAATTTGATTTAAACCAGAGTTTTAATTTTTAAAGAAAAAGCCCAGATTGGTCTTCTATCACATTCAGGCCTTTTTGTATTTTTCTATGGAATCCAAACATTAAATTATTTCTGCCACTTCTAGTTGTAAAATTCACCTTTAAATACATTTTCTGTCCAGGATTTTCAACAGAGAAGTGACAGTGAAACAATAGCATCAGAACAGGTATGAAATTCCCTCATCTTGTAGGTTGTTACGCTTAATTGCATCTGCCTAGCTGCCAAGCCTGTTAACAGTGCCATGGTTAATAATTATGGGACTTACCCTGCGAATTACACTTATCCTGTGGGCAGGAGGTATTGACCTGTACCAGGGTTCCATGTAACCTCTAAATACATGCAGTAGCAACAGTTAGAGGGTGCATCTACACATTCATTAATGTGCTGTAATTACAGCACATTAAATTTAGTACCTGTAATAGGCACTAAATCCACGGTAATCAGTACTACTGCACATTAGCACAGATGAATGCTTTTTGTGTGACACTTTAGCACAATGGACTATATCTACAATGCATTAGCATGGTTTTTGCTAGCCATGCTAATGCACAGTAGAATTTGTCCAATGAACATTAAGGGTATCGTGTAGACACACCCAGAGACACAGTTTCGTTCTCCTTTGTGTGCTGATAGCCTTTTAATTAAGACACAGTCAGAATATATATAAGTTCACTGCAGATTTCTTTTAGGCCTGCTTACGAGCGATTGCAATTATAGCAATGTATGGACAGAACTTATTTATAGATAGAATAATAATTACACAGCTTATAAGAAAGGTAACTATATATTTTAAACTAGACTCCACAACATGTGAAAGGTGATTCCTCCAGGATCCAAGTACCATGCCAATGAGTAATGCTGCTTTGTCCTATTCATGGCAAAATGTGTCAAAGTTATTTTAAGTGCGTTTGTGTAAGAGTGACCAGAGTTGGCTTGCTTGTTGTCTGCTGACAAGAATTCATTTCTTGTCACTATCTTTAAATTCATGTTGAGAAACAGTGAAACTTGAAACCAATCTACAACTTCTAGCACTATTGGAAGCTGCCATTTCATCTCTCGTAAGGGAAAAATATAGACTGTCCACAAGATCCAAAAGTATATTTAGGGGCTCTTACAAAGTAACCACTAAATCACTCACCCTCAAGTACACACAGCCATGACAGGCTTACCATCTATGCTGTTTGTTCACCCCTCCTCCCTACCCAGTCTTAGAGGTTCTATATTAGACTTTTCACTTTTTCAGAAACTTTAACTATTTCTTATGAGACGCTCAAAAGTTCTCTTTCCATTGTATAGTTATTGGTAGTTGCCTGAATCTTAAAGAGTCTTGTTCTCCAAATATAGAGTCCCTCCCCTCCAGTTTCATTTTTATATGCAACTTTAAGGCACAGTACTGCACATTACAGTGGATGTGTAGATGCACCCAGTACTCCAGGTGAGGTTTTACCAGGACTGAACAGAGTAGAGGAATCACTTCTCTTCATTTGCAAATGACACTTCTGTTAATACAACCCAGGATACTGTTGGCATTTTTTTAGCAACACAACCACACTGTTGCCTCATATTCATTGTGTGGTCTGCCCTTAGCCCAAGGTCCTTCTCTGCAGTACTGCAGCCTAGACATACAGTCCCTAGACAATATTTGTGCATGCAATTATTCCATCCCAAGTTCAGGACTTCACAATTGCCCTTGCCGATTCTCATCTGATTGATTGCGAATCGTCTCTCCAAGTCATTCTGGATCCTACCAATATCCTTTGGAGTGCCTGCAACTCCACTCAATTTGATGTCATCTGCAAATTTGCTATTTATGCACTCAAACCCTTCATTCAAATCATTAATGAAGACATGAAACAATACCAGAACCAGTACATCCCCATGGAGAAGCGCTGCTTGATATCTCCTCCTAACTAGACATTGAGCCATTGATATTCATTAAATATCATGATTCAAACAGTTATGTTTCCACCTTCTATTATTTTAGCTTAGTCTATTTCCCTAGCTTGTTAATAAGAATGTCATGAGAGACAGTGGGATGTTGTGGGAGACAGTGTCAAAAGCTTCACTAAAGTCAAGGTATATCATATCTTCCCCCCTCCCCACTTCCACCTCCATAGAGCCTGTCACCTTATAAAATGAAATTAATTAGGTTTCATTCACAAATTGCCTTTGGTGAATCCAAATGGACTGTTCCTGATCACCACATTCTCTTAGTTCTTTACAACAGGTTGCTGGGGGACCTCCATGATTGTTCCAGGTATCAACATTAGGCTGAGTGGCCTGTCTTTCCCTGAATCCTCCTTCTTCCCTTAAAGATGGCCACTATACTTGCCCTTTCCCTTTTCCAGTCATCTGGGACTTCACCCGACCTCCATAACTTCTCAAAGAGGCCAGCCAAAAGCTCTGAAATTACCTCAGCCAATTCCTTCGGTACCCTAAGGGGTCCCATCCAGCCCCATTGAACAGAAAGCATCTAATTTCTGTAACTAATTCTTCATCTGGTTTTCTACTACTCTTAAGCTGTTTATCTCCTTCCCTGTTTTTGCTGACAACTTCACTTATCAGCTGGCAGATGCCCCTGTTAGTGAAGACTCAAGTGAAAAAAGACATTAAATACTTCAGCCTTCCCTGCATCATTTATAACTAGTTTGCTTTCTGCATTCTATAAGGGACCTATGGTTTCTCTGGTCTTCCTCTTTTGAGATATTTGCAGAATCCCTTTCACTGCTTTTTATGTACCCTGCCAGCTGCACTTCGAAGTGTGCCTTGGCCTTCCTCATTTTCACTCTGCAGGCCCATGTGATACTCCTATATTCTTCCTGAATATTATGGTGAATTTTCTACTTTCTTCCAGTTTTGTTCTTGGCTACACATGGAGCCATCCATGAAATGGAGCAGACCGCTGCAATGAGATTTGATTTAACACTCTTGTGGACCTTTCATCTTTGAACTCAGTTAGGCTTGAAGGGAAGCATACCCTGCAGTTCAGCAGCTCTCTAGCTCCAGTCCCTATTTAGATGGTCCCCCTTTTCCCCAAACAGGTCCCAGTACACGAAGAAATACAATTTTCAGAGTAAACCTTGCTGCCCTGTAGAGGGGAGAATAGGAAATGTTGCATCTGTTTTTCAACTTCTCCCCAATGACAGCCTGCTCCCCTATCCCTGACGCTGGTAATAGACAACATGACATTGAAGCCAACCTACAAAAGTAGGTTGGCGGAGTCATCAAATATGAAATACACATATTTCTCTTTGTATACAATCAGGGGGCCAATTCATCACACAACAATACACTAATTACTGTATCACTTAAGAAGAGTATTTATACCCAACTGACATGCTGCTCTATTAGCCGTGGCTAGCGTGGGATTAATCATGAATGGACATTGTGATTTTCATGAATTTAGAGCTCAACAGAGGTGGAAAAATAGAATTTCTTTTTCAATAGGCTAATTTTAAGTAGTGACAAAGCAGTTCCAGTAAGAATCCACTTTATAAGACTGACAAAACTATTTTAGTCTTTCTTGCTTTGTGGGATGACTAGTTACACTGTTCATTGTTTGATTATTCATTCTAATTTTATATGTCATTAGTTATGAAGCAGCTTTCATAAATGCCAACCAGGAAATCTGTCTTCTCATAGGCACAAAGACAGGAATAAAAGCATCATTCAACATGAAGTGTTGCATTCAGTAGTTGAAAAGCTGCTTATTTGGAAAACTGTTTACTCAGTTTTGACAAACACGATGTAAGCAGTGTACTCCTGATTGCATGCATTGCAATTCATGCTGAAGCCAACATTGCCCTTTTATAGATGAGAATGATGGGTCAAACTTTCAAATTCTTGAACTATTGAAGAAACTTACTTTTTCTCTTGGTAATATGTGCTTGGTGCATTTAGATCAAGCTGCATAAATTATATGTAGCTGAAGTGTCCTGTAACAGGACTGGAAAGTAAATATAGAACTTATTTCCCATGGTAAATCTGCAATCAGTTAATAAGAAAAGTTTCATGATAGCCCAAAACTGACCCATATACAACTCTACTTGCTGAACCAATATACAACTCTACACATTTGCATATAATTAATTGAACCAAGCACATTCTGAGATGAAAGCAAAAACTATCAGACCTTGCCATCTAGCTCATCTTCTTTGGGGTTCTTACTGAGGTTGGGAGCTGCTGGAAATTCCAGGTTATTCAAGTTTTTGGAAATGCATTCAGTCACTAATACCAAGACAAACCATGGTGTTACAGATGTAACTATATTACAAATTGTTCTAACTTCTGTTTATAATAGGTCCTTAAAAGCTGAAATCCATTTTCTTAACATACTGTTAGTCAGACATGTCATGTAAATCATTGGTTTCTTACTGAAGAGTTGCTATGCTACTCCCAGGTATTTTTCTTTTCAAAAGCCAATCTGAGCACTGAAACATTTCTTTTGAAAATTAAAACTCAATGAAAGAATTACAGTGAGATCTCAATAAAGCTTACATCTGGGGTCTGATGAAGATTCTTAAGCATTACTATTATACAAATAAAAAATAATACCAACCTGTGGCCTCGTACATGGCAGGTGTCACAATAACAGCGAGCCACCACACCACACCACACCCCCTGACCTGCCTCATGGAGAGATTCTGCATAGGAGTAAATGATCAGTTTTGCATTCATGCCTACTCAACACTCCTCTTCTGTGCTGAGATGCCTAGGAGGCTGCAAACTAATTTAAATGGTGGTGATTGTATGATATGGCCTGAATACTGGGCCAGCTCACCACCAACTGACAACTCTCAGTCAATACTGATTAAGCCCAGTTCAAACAGGCAACCCCAAGTGAAAAGTTATTGGCTTTTGATCCAATTCGTCTTTCAAAGTTACTTCAAAGTTGCCATTTTCTTTTTCTTTTCATCATTTGAAAACCAGCTTGATTAAGACTGGAAGTTTAACGGAATAATTCACTATTGATAATAGACACTTAGTAGGGGGGGCCACAATGGTTAAATATGCTGTAAAAAGCCTACACAAAAGTGTATACCCTCAACATTATACATGCAAAGACATGCAAGGAATGTCAAAGTAGTCAGTCACTCCTGCTGCAAATACCTGTGTTTAATTCACCTTAAGTTGTAACTTTTCATGAAGCCTCAGGGCTATTGCATGTCCTTTAACAACTGAAAAGTAAGATAAAGCTACTTTTTTGCATAAAGCATTGTGACTATTATAGTAAGTAGGCAGCTGAAACTAGTAAGTCTTTATTTTAAAGAAAACAAATTCTCGTTAGCTTTTCAAGTAAACTTGAATAAAACTGCTTTTCTGTAGGCACATCTATATGAGATGCTTTAGTGCACAGTAGACTGATTTGCTGCACAGTAAAGCATCACCTTTTAAATATGCGTGGCAATTAGGGTACAGAAGACTTAATTTACTGTGCTGCTGGATAGTCCTGTCAGAAACAAGTGGTATTTGGCAGCTCAGTAAATTGCTGTGCTTAAATGCACATGTAGATGCAGATTGAGATTAGTTTGCCCTGGCTCAAATTAAGCCAGAGTATATTCAGTTGCATTAATTGCATGTGTAGACATGCCCCGTATACCCATACAGTGCATATAAACTTACCTTTTGTCCCTTCCTCTTTCCCTTCCTCCTTGCCTCCCTTTCCCTCCAAGAACTGGTTATATCTTGAGCACATAGCAGGTAATAGGAGAGTGAAATGCCTTCCTAACCATGGTGAAGATATGGCCTTTTGAACATACATTCAGAATAAGTAAATAAGAAATGTATTTTAGCTTTTGAAGGTAGCAGCCTGGGAGCTGTAGAGCCCTCTTGCAGGTATAGAGTGAGTCTCCAATTGGCACTGGTGGGTCCAGCCCCTCAAGGTAGTTCACTCTCTGCCAATTGAGTCTAACTTACCTTTTGGGTCTGCTGACAAAAAGCCTATTAGAACCCACATTTTAAATTAGATGTGACAAACAGCTTCCGATACAGCATTCACATAGCACTCAGGGGTTAAGGTCTTCTGAAGTTCTTTGGCACACAACCTGGTGGGTTTCTTCTACCTGAAAGGCTTTCCAGGCAAAGTGAGCTGTGTTTCCAATTAAAATGAACACTTTTGTTCCTTCCTGATTTACAAATCTTCCCTGGAACCAAGTAGTCATCAGGAAGCATCCTTTAAAATTACCAAATCACCTATAAGAAATAAATAATGTTTTCCCAGACACTTATGCAACATTAGCAGTTAATACAACATGCAAACAATTTCTTCTTAGAAATTCTGCAGCATAACAGTGTAACAAGTCTCCCCTATTGCTCCTCTTCATTAAGCTGGTGTTTCAACCCAAGAGACTTTAGCCTTTCCAGTTCTCAGAGGAAATGTGAGAAATGCCTGAGGGAATATTTAAGTTCAGGGTCAATAATGGGCTCACCCACACTCGTGGAACACATCATTAAGGAAAGAGAAATGAACATAATGGGGATGAACTACCCACAATTATTTGCATTTGGAAAAGCCACACCTTCTTCCCATTAACTTCCACCCTCTCCTAAAGTTATTTCAGTAACTCTACCAAGCAGATCACAGCAGTCAGTTCTCCCTTAAGTGGTAAAACAATTTCAATACCCAGAAAAACAAATGACCGCACCTCTTGCCACCTTGCTATATTCCTCTTTTTTCCCCTCAGTATTTTCCATAAGAGGAATAGTGATGCTGCCATTTCATACTCTCTGTAGACCTGGGGTTGGTGAGCTCTGTGAACACCTCCATCCAGCCTTCCTAGATAAGCAATACTAGAATCAAACAAACATTTTTCCTTTAGCTGAAAAGGTCTATACTCCACTGTAATAACCATAACTCCTTTTTCATTTGATTTACATGGAGATTTATGTGGGTGGGGCATGCCTTTTATGTATTTACTGTGTCCCTGTTTAAAGCAGTTTTCCTGGATGAAGCAAAAATCTGGTGCTTCATCTTTGATGGCTTGTAACACCTTCCTCCAGTTTAATAATACTGTTAAGACCCTGAATATTTATGATGTAAACTCTGAGTTTATGAGACGTCACAAGAATAGCAGGCTGCTCTATTGAACTGGTTTCTGTACATTTATAGTTGGTTTTTACCTTTTCTTTATATCTGTGTCTAAATTTTGTCAGTATGATAAAGTTCTTCCTTTTCCCAGGGATGTTTTTGGATTCAAAACTTTTTTTTCTTTTTACCCCCTCCTTTTTCTAACATACCCACCTTAATTGCCCCCCACCTGCTTTCATAAAAACAGCAACTGTAACATGAACCACAGAAGTATTACCAATGCTTTGTTTTCCCAGTCTCTTCCTCCCCACTCCGTGTCCCCAAACATCCCTCCTAAGGTGCCCTTCTCTCCCTCCCCACATCCCTAAAATATAAAGCTTTATGATTAACCCCACTAAAATCACAGATTCATAGCTTGTAAGGCCAGAAGGGACCTTGGAAGATCGTTGGGTCCAGCCCCCTGCACCAAGCAGGAAAGATAACTGAGGGTCAGGTGACCCCAGCAAGGTGACTGTCTAGTCTCTTCTTGAAGATTTCCAGGGTTGGTGATTGCACCATCTCTGGGACTTATTTCACAGTCTGGACACCCTCACTGTGAAGAAGTTTGTCCTAATGTTGAGCCTTAATCAGTCTTCTAGGGGTTTGTAGGTATTATTCCTAGTTTTCCCCTTAGGTGCCCTGGTAAACAGTTGCTCACCAAAGCCTTGATGTACTCCCCTAGTGTAGCAGTAAGCTACAGTAAGTAAGTAGACTGACTTTCTTGTGTGGTTAACTCCTTGGAGGCCCCCTGACTGCCACTTTGGGTGAAATCCTGACATTATGTGGACAAATTGGAGAGAGTCCAATAGAAGGCAATGAAAATGGTTAGAGGGCTGGGAAGCCTGACATATGAGGAGAGGCTGAAGGAACTGGGCTGATTTAACCTGGAGAAGAAAAGGCTGAGGAGGGGTTTAATAGCAGCCTTCAACTCCCTGAAGGGTAGTTACAACACAGATGGAACTAGACTGTTCTCAGTGGTAGCAGATGGCAGAACAATGGCCTCAAGTCGCAGAAAGGGAAGTTTTGATTAAATATTAGGCAAAACTGACTCACTAGGAGTAGTAAAGCACTGAAACAGGCTACCCCTGAGAGGCTGTGGAATCTCCATCCTCAGAGGTTTTTAAGACCTGGCTAGACAAAGCCTTGGCTGGGATAATGTAGTTAGGGGTAGTCCTGCTTTAAGCAGAGGGTTGGACTAGATGACCTCTTCTTTAGAGTGGAGTTTGACATACCCTGGAAAATCTGTATTTTCTATGTGCCCAATTTAATTGCAGAGACTTCTCTAATTCTTCTTATTTGCTTATTTTGTTTGAAATAATGCATTCTTAGAACTATGTCGCTAGATCTGTTTGTGTTGGGAGGAGCACAGAGAGAACTGTGTACCCTGTCTAGGGATATTAGTCTGTCTCCAGTCCTAAAAAGATTTGCAGCATTTCTTTTAAGAATTTAATAAGATCCTCTTTCTCCAAGTTCCATATCGGCTTGAAAGATTTTATCCACACTTTTTCCTCATTGTTAATGTCC